GTTGACTTTACCGTGTTTGGGGAAATCAGAATTAGGTCTTTTGGGTTCGTGGATTTTATCAATTTTTGTATTGATTAATTCTTTTTCATTTGTTTTTTATTCACATTTTGCAAAGCTCGCAGGCACATCGGTAAAAAGGTAAATTTTATATCTATTACGTTATTACTTCACTGTTAATTTAACAGATTTTATAAAGGGTGTAGGAAATTGAAATAAAATGATAAGTAATGTATGAAATTGAAATTTTTTAAAAATATAGTATGATGTTGCAATTGCACTCAAACCTGAAAAGATAAAATATAACCCACCCAAAAATATAATACATCTATTAAATGTGAGACTTCAATCCCGGCCTCTCCCCATTATCGAATTTAGAAAAAGTGGGAGCTGTTCATGCATCATGCACACATGATAGGTTCATGCATCGTGCATAGATGATAGAATAGTTAGATACTTGTAAATTTCTTGCCATGATGCATCATGCATAGATGACAGAATAGGTTAGATATTTGTAAATTTCTTGGCATAACGCATCATGAAACTGCATGGCAATCAAGCAACTGACCAAACCAATTGAAATACGTATATGCCCAACTGCCACAGAAGCCAGACGTAATTACCAAAAAAAGGGGCGGACGTAAAAGTAGAGCTATATAATCCTAAAAATAGGAGAGGGCGTGGATTGGTTCCGCACTGGCTAGGTTAAATTAATACAAAAATTTGGGAGCTTTTGGTTTTAATATTTTGTAATCATGCTTATGATAAAAATTATTTATATTATAAATTAAAGTCGTAAAAATTATTTTATAAAAAATTTAATAATATATAAATTCGTTCGGTGAAATAAGTCAATTCATGAAATAAAGTTATTTCACCATCTAATAAAAAACACAAATCTATAGAAGTATTATTTATTATTGATTTGCTACTGTTGTTTTACTAAACAACTTTAATTTGATTAATTTTTTATTCTAATGATGATCTTTAAAACTGAGGCCAACACATCACACCGCACAAAAATGGTCCATGGTTGATGGTTCCATGATCCAATTTGTAAATGGCCCTAAAGAACTCGCTTTCTTGCTTCTTGAAGCAACCGTGATCCCATCATCTCATGCAAATATTGCCAAACCGACACGTCGCTAAGCTCAGTTCTTCAAGAAATTTGTTATTGTGATGGAAATACGAGTGGTACATCATGTGTTTTTATATAAATGGTGAGAAATTTATTTTTTAAGTTATAAATTTTTTAACACACATATCTCATCATTTGTATAATGACACGTAATATATCACCTCGTGTGCCGATCACATTGAAAAATCCCTCTAATTCTTCAACGTTTCAAACGCTGAGCTCACAAGCTATTCTCAAAAGCAAAAGCAAAAGCAGAAGTACAAGCAAAAGCAAACCAAAACTCTCAGTCACACTTCTCCTTTTCTTTCAAACTCTTGGACTCTTTTTGTTTACTTAGCTTCATACATATAGATTTACATAATTGGGTGCCTACAAGCTGAGAGAGAGAGAGAGAGAGAGAGAGAGAGATGGGAGCTTTTACTGCTGCTTCTGTGCTTCCTTGGGATTTCAAGCCTTCACTCCCTCTCTCTCATCATAGAAGCTCTTTGTTTCACTATACAAGAACTCCCAAGAAAAGAAACAGGGCCATAGTTCCTGTAAGTTTCCTTTACTCTTAATCATTTTATTCACAAATTCATACGAGCGATATTCAAATCTAATCTCACATGCTTAAGCGGGATTCTAACTTAGGAGCAAGGCTGACTGCCAACTTGATTACGCTGATGTCTACTTTTCGGTTTTCAATTTTTTTGTGTGGTGTCGGTTTTGATTGATTAGGTTGCGAGGCTATTTGGGCCAGCAATATTTGAAGCATCGAAGCTGAAGGTTCTGTTTCTAGGAGTGGATGAAAAGAAGCACCCAGGGAAGCTTCCAAGAACTTACACACTCACTCATAGTGACATCACCTCAAAGCTCACTCTGGCAATTTCACAAACAATCGACAACTCTCAGGTTTTAAGAATTCTGACTAAGATTAATTTTTTTATTAATTACGTTAATGAAGAATTAATGGAAATCGGGAAGTTTGATGTTGCAGTTGCAAGGGTGGTACAGCAAGTTGCAAAGAGATGAAGTTGTTGCTCAGTGGAAGAAAGTTAAGAACAAGATGTCTCTCCATGTTCACTGTCACATAAGTGGAGGTCATTTCCTCTTAGATTTGTTTGCAAGGCTCAGATACTTCATCTTCTGCAAAGAATTACCTGTGGTAAGTCAGCAATTAATTAGTTATTAATAATTTTTATACCACTGAAATTCTAGTTCATCTCATTTAAACTGCACGTACAACAAATTTTTGTGCACTAGGTACAGAGTAGTGTATATTCTAGTTATAATATACATCGTTTGAGTAGAATAATAACACGTGAAAGTAACGATTGTTTCGGTATATTAAATAATTATTAAGAGATCACGCTAATGTAGCTACACACTACATTTATAAGAATTAATTAATCGAGAATTAATTTCTCTTAATGGTTGATTAATTTGTCTCTATGATCTTTATTAAAACGTAATATTCCCTTTCCCTTGGTAGGTTTTGAAGGCCTTCGTCCATGGGGACTGCAACTTGTTCAACAGCTACCCAGAACTGCAGGACGCTTCGGTATGGATCTACTTCCACTCGAGCATTCCCGAATTCAACAAGGTGGAGTGCTGGGGCCCACTCATCGACGCAGCAGCACCTTCTAGTGGGTCATCAGGCGGTGCCCACCACCAGGAAAACAACAGCGGCGGGGAGGGGGAGGAGGCAACTTCTCCAAGCAACTGGGACTTGCCAGAGACGTGTCAAGAGGAGTGCGACTGTTGCTTCACACCACTGACTTCGATTGCATGGTCCCAAGAGCTTCCCCATGCAAATCAAACTAGGGTTGGGACCCACCAGAGCTTTCAGGGCAAACCCAGGAAACAAACTGAAGATTTTATTTATTTCTTTTGTTTATATAATTAATGTAAATAGATGTGTACCTATCTGTTAATATTACTGCAAAAATATTATTCCTATTCTCTATTTGTATTATTATTTAGGTTATTTTTTATTTTAATTGGGTTGAAATTTTCAACATAGATTTTTATCAAGACCTTTAAAGCACACTATCTTCAGTTTGTACGTGTTCTATAAGTTAATAACTATCCTACATTTTATTCAAAAAGATTAAATCCAAAAAAAATAAATTTGAATTTAGATTTCCAAAAAAAATATGTAATTTCATGTACCCTCGTTTTGACCCTTAATCTATTTATACTTGTCTTTGTTTTGAAATCAAAGCACATGATAGAATTGTAAACTACCAACAACACCCCTTTAATTTCATGTAATTGGTTGGGGAAAAAATGAACCAGTTCGGTATGTGTAGTTGACAATACACACTAATCAGGCAAGATATTGAAAAGCTTTTGGGGAGTTGGGCTACAATACCTACTTTTGACGGTTTGTCGACAGTATAGTTGCGCCGCCTTGTGCAATCACATTTGTCGGCTCCACCTTGGCTGGAGTCATTGACAAAAGAGATGTTAAAAATGTCACATTGACATGTAACAATAACAAATGACGTACTATTTACTCTAACTGAGATATCAAAGCTGACATGAAAAAGATGTTTAAGCTGACATGGACAAAGAGATGTCAGATTTGAAGCTGCTTTCAAATATAATTTTTGCCATTTTCAAATGCATTTCACTTGCATTACCTTAAATGCTAGCATATTTAAGTATTATTTTATTATTTTTAAACCAACAACAACCCAGTTTTTATTATTTTTGTTTAAAAGTAAATAAATAAATAAAGCAATAAATTTTGGCATATCAGGTGGAAGAAAAATATTAACAATATGTCAAATTGTCAAGTCAGCCATCAAATTAAAATTTGATGTTTTGAATTTGACATCTCCTTTAGAGATGCTCTAATCCTCCACATAAATGAGTCAAAAAATGGTTGCCTTCTTAGGGTGTGTAGCTTTTTTGCTCTCTTGCCGAGCGAGTGTTCTAGTCAAGCTTCTACGATCGATCGCTGGGTGTTGTCTTTCGCCTTTGAGCATTGAGTTATGTGTTCGTCTTTTAGTGATGACTTTATGCGGTCTTGCTCCTTTATGATGACTTTATATGACCTCGCTCTTCAACATCTTCTAGAGTGTTTGCAAATATGGATCTCTTGCGTCTATCGGTTTTGTGACAAATACGTATTGGTAGCATTTGTACGCTTGTGCATATGGTAGCCATTTAAAGATTTACTCAAATTGTTTGGTCATCCAAATTCACTTTTTGGCCAATGGAACAATTCATCCAATTGTCATTTCTGCACTTATTTGATATGACAAAAACCAATTTTGGAATAAAAAAAGCCTCCCACGTGAAATCGACCTGTTTTATAATAGTTTAAATTATGTGAATATATAATATCACAAAATTGCGTTAAACATTTAAATCTGCATCTCACCTAACGACTATGGGATGGCTTAATGATTGGGAATGAATTTCAGACCCAAATTCCACATATGTCTTGGGTTCAATTCTTAACCTTAATGAATCGCATGATGATAGCTAGAAAAAAGTTATCATGGTGAAGCCACCAGCTAGTCCTTTTTTTAAAAGAAAAGAAATCTGCATCTCACCTTTTCACGAAATTGCACTTGAACATGCTGTCATTCGTTACAAATCACACGGTGGTGATTCAATCTAGCTTTGATAGATCGGAGCGGTTGGCACAAGGTTCTGATTCTGTCGCAATTCAGAAAAGAATAAAAGAACAGAACATCTTGAATCATATGATTAATGGTCCATTAGCTTAAGACAGCTTCCCTTTGTGAATTATTAACACTAACTAATCATCGAATTCTATGTATCCGATTCCACAGTGACTGAAGGGAGAACCTATATCAATCGAACACGTCAGAGAATTTGGCACGTGCGAATGCGACGACACGAACTAGAGTTGTAAAAATAAATCACCTAATTTTCAACTAAAATGTGAAAAAAATTGTGATCCATTTACAAAGAATGTGAAATAAACTTGCACCCTGCTGACCCGACTTATCTCCCAGTCCAGTGTATCCTCCTCTTTAAATATACAAAGTGAGGGAGCTCCGAGAAGGTGAGAATATTCATCACAACCCCCCTCTATACATTATACATAGTAAACTACTTAAGTGGGAAAAGAGAGTAAAATATCGAAATCCTACCGAACCCATCACTTCATCTCTCGTCTTAGTCTTCTGAGGTCGCGGCATAATCTCCTGCACATCTATGGTATCATGTCAAAAACAAATGGCACATCATTGCCCGGTTCCCATCCTCTGGCAGTCTGAGCAACTGTGAAGGTTGCCAAGTCAGTATTGATGTTATGTACGAGGTCACCGGATAACGGTTCTTCCAAGCGATGATGCTCCAATTTCACTTTCCCTGTTCTGCAATAACAATTTCATTCATATGATGTGAGTTGCATTCCTCTCAAGCTCGAAATAGAATCAAAGGTAGAGGACATGAAACGGAACAACTGGATGCAATTTATTGTCTTTGCTTAAACCAATTTCAATTCACATTATAGTATGTAAGATAACGTGATTAAGGATATAGAACCCAATTATTAAGCGATGTCAGGGAAGGAAAATAATCAATACTACCAAACTACCCTGTTTTTCTCTAATGACCTTACTGACTTTGCATGCAGGCGGAACATCGACAGAAAATGAGTTCTCAAGGAAGCATAATCAATTATGTATCCGTTATAACCTACTCTGATGACTAAACAATTAAGGAAGAGCTATTAACCAAATCATTTGCATTAAATATTTTTTACCTGGGACTTGGGGGAAGGAAACACATTCCAAAATCTTAGTGTTTCATCTCCTGCTCCAGTGACAATTGTCTGAAACAATAATCAATGACAGATCAGAATATTCATAAACAAATGAAAAGTAATTTGCATAACCATAAAAAGAGGGCATGCACAATCAGAAGATTGGGTACAGAACCTGTCCATCAGGTGAGATGGCAAGATAAAGAACTCTGTATGAATGGCCAGTAAGAGTTGCCAGCTGCATCATCAGAATAGCGTTGAAGAATTAGAAACCAAGATAAAAGAAATTTATTGGTTTTGGGCAATTGACAACACTTATTTACCTTTGACATGGTGGGATATCTCCAAACTATTATTTGATTTTGGGAGTATCCATGGGTGCTGACTAGTTCATTGACATTTTTAGACCACACAAGATTGCAAACCTGCAGATGTACAGATCTAATGGATATAAGTATAGCTGCGCATAGTAATCAGAAAAAGGGACAGGTGAAAGGGAGGGATTTCAGTCGCCAACAAAATTCATGCCTATGAACAGTGTATATCAACATCCAGCATCGTGAATGAGAAATCCATGTAATTTTCACAGTAAAATAATTTTCCTTTGATTTAGCACCTAGATGAGGTACAGAGCGAAAGTAATTGGATTCAAGTTGTGAATGTGTTAACCCCTGTTTCCTCCTTTCATCAATCATTACATGGAAAAGGTCAAATTTAATAAATAAATAAAAAAGAAAGGAAGATTTATATTTGTTGGAAATATCTACTCATTAGAAAAATAACAATGTGATGAAACAAGAACCAGGTTTGGAACTATTGAAATAATGACATTCACTGCAATCACTTCGGGTTCTCTAAATATTTCTCACACGGCAAAACTTTCGTATTGTATGCATGTTTAAAAAAAATCAACAGGAGAGTAAGCAGATTAAAACAAATAAGAAAGAAGTTTTTCACCTGACTTCCAGTGTCCATGCAGCTCAAGTGTGAGTTGGTGGTAGTATTCCAGAAACGAATACATCGGTCTGCTGTTCCTCCTCCAGATGCAAGAAGCCCATGATGATGGGGAGACCATGCAATAGCTTTCACAGCGGCAGTATGCTCACAGTATTTGAGAACCGGTTGAGTTGAATGTTGATTCCAAACAAAAAGCTGTATATAGAGAGAGAGCAAACCATCAGTTATGAATTGGTAGCATGACCAAATTAAAACTGCACACAAAATAAGTCGGACTGATAAAAAAAAATTGCCATAACATACCCTGTTATCATTCCCGCCTGATGCCAGCTCACGGTTATCATATGACCATTTCAGTCCACAAACCTAAAGGATTATCAAATATCTTCAGGGTGCAAAATATATAAATGAAACAAAATATGATCTGCAAGATACATGGATAATAACAACACAACAAAGACAAATGGCATGTTACACGAAGTACAAGTTAGAAGAACTAATAATTAGAATGAGTACACAGAATTTTAAAGTTAACAGTTTCTTATTGTACGCAGAAGTTTAATCAAAGTGAACATGAACTCAAAAATTCTGACCTCTGACTTGTGTCCGGAAAGTTTGCTAACAAAATCGTCCTGAGCACGAATATCACGTTGAAGAATAGTCTTGTCCCGGCTACCAGAAGACAGCATAGATGAACTCCAGGCTAAGGCGCCAATGCGTAGTCGGTGGCCCTCCATGGTTCTTACCCTCCTACACCGGGATGCATCCCATATCTATACAGTAGATAGCAAGTGCATCAGCCAGTTATGCAGCAGCATATATACAATAAACATGCCACATGTCTAACAGTAAAATTCAAATGGAAACAATTACACAAAAGTCGTGCTAGATATGAAATTCCTGTTATAATGCTGCACAAAAACCAACGCATAAACTGCTCCCATGCAACTGTTGAATATCCAATTGTAACAATAAATACAATCCTAACCTGATTATCATATACACTGACCTGGTTCTGACAAAGGCCGAACACAGAAGAAGCAAGTCACATATAATCAGACCAGTAGTCAAAATTTTATTCATGTTTGAACAGTTGTGCAAAAAATCAAATTAAAGGAAGTCACCAAAATCAGAATCCTATTGTGTTCAGACTCATATAAACAAACATCGTCACAGATTCACAATGTAATGAGCAGGGCATGGAGGTTTCAGACTTACCTATTCCTACTCCTATCTAAAGACCAGTAACATACATCTACAAAGCTGAACACTTAAAGCCAAGTTTGGAATCTGGACATCGGAACAAAACTTGGAGATTCTAGAATGAGTAAATAGATGACGTGTTGGTGGGACTGTCTGCACAACAGACCAGACAGGGATATGCAGCTAGATAGGACCTTGTTATTTGTATTAGTCTACATTCTAATAACAAAACTTTTCCACAAATTCTGCAGTTCATATAAGTATTTCAAGCATTATGTTGTTTGACGATAGTATTCCCCATACTAAAGTCACAAATTTGTTGCTTATACACCTATATTGTGAATGTTGTTGCAACTACACTTGTAATTGCACTTTGCAATATTATAAATATAAAATAACATCTCAATATCAAATCTCTAAGAATGAACCATGTCTATCAGATGTGAATAGGTCCAAGTATCACTTACTTGGACTTTCCCATTGCTAGTTCCAACTGCAAGATGAGTTCCACGTTGAGCCCAGCCAACAGAACAGACACTATCATCAATCCCCAAGTCACATAACTTAGTTACCTGCAAGTGACATCCAATCATAAAGTCAAAAAATATCGCATCGGCAAAGACTCAAAGTGATCAATTTCATACATACACCAGGAAAAACGCACACCACATGATCGAAAAACAGTTACGATCATAAAAAGGTAGCAACTTGTGACATCGAAAAACATCCACGTTTGCCTCAAATTACAACAACAATGTTAACATTAGAAATTTGTCGAAAAAAAATGTTAAAATTAGAAAGAGAAGCTAAGTTAGAGCTCACCTTGCTACTACAAGCATTCCATAAATAAACACAATTTCCCAACCCAACAGCAAGCACATTGTGCGAAGACCAATCGACAAGATTCAGATAGAAATCGTCCTGCAAAGCAGGTGCATCCAAAACCTGAACAAGAAACAAAATTTCCGTAAATAAAATAAATAAATAAAAACCCAATTCACAATATCCAAATTCAAACCAAACCCAAATCGGCAAAAGACTTGAAAGTGATGAAAGTCACCTTATAAGGCGACCGGGGAACCTTCCGAGGAGCCTTGACGGGGCTATGGTGAACTCCGGTGACCACATCATCGAACCCAAAAGGGGAAAGCGAGTGCATTGACCGGCGAGTCTCGGTCTTGAACCGGAAGATGTTGGGGCTGGGCGGGTTCATCTGAATCGCGCTCCTTTTCTCAGGCGTCGCCGGAGGGACCACGCCGGCGGAGTCAGGTCCAAAGAGGGCAGCGCGTAGGAGAGTGCCGTAGGCGCTTGACGAGTCATCGCGGCCCTCGGATGGAGTATTGGAGATGTCGAAGAGGGGGAAGTTGGAACCGGTTCTACTGGGGATGAACCTATCGGAGTAGATGGTCCTGGACGGCGATTGGTGGTGGTTGTAGTTGATCAGGCGGTCGATGTGCCGAGATGGGGTTAGGGAATGTAGTGCCTGAGGAGTGCGGAGCAGAGTCGGAGTCGATGGGGTTGTCGGAGTGGTATCCTCCATAGAAGATCAGTGTGTGTGTGGGTGTGTGTTTGTTGTCTCTCTGTCTGTGGGAGAGAGAAGGAATTGGGATGGGAAAGGAGAGAGACGATGGGAGGAGAGAGAAGGGCTTGATGGGTTCTGGTAATTTTCCCGGGAAAACCAGGTAAGAAAGCAGAGGAGATAATTATCCCGGGAAAATCATAGGGGAGGGGGTTATATTTTGGTGCGTTTGGTAAGTCCTATTCACTCTAGTAAACTCTTTTTTGTTTTCTTAACCAAAATTGAGTGGGACTTCCTTTTCCTTGGCAAAATTGGATTGGGATTTAACCAAATTTCAAATAATGCTTAGAATTTGGGTTTAAAAAACTTTTTTATTTTGTCTTTTTTATATATTGGTAAATAATATATAAGTACAATTCATTGGTATAATTAATTATTTTTGGATTAAGAATATTGGTTGGTATATGATGAGAATCACAAACGGAGAACAAAGATTATTATATTGCATATACAGATCACCAAACAATTAAGATAATCAAAATAACATAAAAAAACAGCTAACAACTTAGAACATGATGCAAGCATGTGGGATGCCTCTCAAAATAACAAATGGGGAGTTGGAATCCTATTTAATTAAGGAATTCTTGTGGTTCCAAGGAAACTGTTATATAATTTTTTATATGTCAAAGTTGTAATTGAATTGCTAGCCCATTGTGAGAGGTCTTATGTTCAATTCTTACCAAAAACGAATTTGAATCACATTATTGTTATCTTATTGTAAGGCTAAACCTCTCATCTCCGTTAGTATAGATAATATCATTTGTTCCAAAAAAAAAAAAAAACTAAATTGCGCATGGTTCAGTATCTTAGTGAATAGGATGTTAGGTTTTATCCATGTGTTCTGCATTTGAAAAACTCGTCGCTTCTAAATTATTGTAACAATTTCAAACTTTTTTCTCATCTTTAATAATAAGGAATTAAAAAAAAATGTTATGATTGAGGGTTGGTTCGGAATTGTGGTGCTTTAAACAAAAAAAAAAAAAAAGTAGCTTATTAAAAAATTTGAAACATTAAATATGTTTGATAAAACCAAAAAAAAAATAGTGTTAAAAAAAAAAAAAAAACTTCTATTAATGACAGTAGAAAAACATAGAAAGCCAAAAGCAAGGTCTATCATGCTTAAAAAAATTGCTTTTTTTTTTTTTTTTTTTTCTTTAAAGCATAGTAATCAATGTCATTTAATGAAATTTTCAAATAGCAAATATACCCTCACATGTCTTTGATAATTATTATATCACATTAAATACTATATTTTTTTAGTCATTTAACATATTCAAAGCAATTTATATAAAAATTTACCAAACACTCAGACACAGTTTTTTTTTATTAAAAAAATTTTTACAAAAAAAAAAAAAAAAAAAAAAGGTTTACCAAACACTTAACAACTTTAGTTTACAGCTGTTTATTCTCACAGTACAGCAAAAACAGTTTTTTATTTTTATTTTTATTTTTTTTCAAAACACATCAATACCAAACTAGCCTTGAATCGTGGTTTAATGGTGTTTTTCTTTATTTGTAAATAAGATATATTAGATTTGGCTTAAATGATGATGATCCTTCATGAAAAAAGTTAAGGCTCCATCATAAAACCAATTGATAATCAAATGAGTAGCTCAATTACTTATATGCACATATAAGGTCCATTATTTCTCTGATGTCAGGTTAATACTCTCAACATGCCCGCTCAGGTGTGACAAATTTTTAAGCCTACCATATAGACAACATAGTTTGGGTGATGCGGATCACATGTGACTATTAGACTTCACACATTTGACAACATGCTCTGATACCATGAAGAAAGTTGAGGTTGCACCATAAAACAAATTGCCAACATGAGAAAGCCCAATTACTCATTACGGGTAATGCTAGGGATACCATCAATTTAAACCATATTTTGTAAATCATATGACGTGGTTGATGATGATTGGATTATTACTTAATTGTTGATTAACGTGTTTATTTACTATTGGTGACACATCATATAGTTTGCAAATGTGGCTTAAAAGATTAGTTTACCTAACATTCCTCAATACTTTTAAGTACATGAAAGGTCCCTTCTTTTCCTAAATTAATACTCTCAATACTGTGACTAATGATTTTGCCTACACCTGCTCAATTGTTTATTCAATTTAACTCATGAAAGTATAGTAGAACTCATATCATTTACATGTTGTTTGAAAACTAATTCACATCAAAACAAAAAATTTCACTGCATCCAGATAACAGTATTTTGGCTAGTGTGGGTGTGACATCCCACATCGCCCAAGGGAGTGATCCTTAAATGTATATTCCCATCCTTACCTAGTACGAGGCCTTTTGGGAGCTCACTAGCTTCGGGTTCCGTAGGAACTCCGAAGTTAAGCAAGTAGCGGGCGAGAGTAATCCTATAATGGGTGACCCACTGGGAAGTTCTCGTGTGAGTTTCTAGAAACAAAACCGTGAGGGTGTGATGGGAGCCCAAAGCGGACAATATCGTGCTACGGTGGTGGAGCGGACCCGGGAAGTGATCCACCCCGGGCCGGGATGTGACAATTTGGTATCAGAGCCTAACCCTGGTCGCGTGTGTGCCGACGAGGACGTCGGACCCCTAAGGGGGGTGGATTGTGACATCCCACATCGTCCAGGGGAGTGTTCCTTAAATGTATATTCTCATCCTTACCTAGTACGAGGCCTTTTGGGAGCTCACTGGCTTCGGGTTCTGTAGGAACTCCGAAGTGAGTAGCGGGCGAGAGCAATCCCATGATGGGTGACCCACTGGGAAGTTCTCGTGTGAGTTTCCAAAAACAAAACCGTGAGGGTGTGATGGGAGCCCAAAGCGGACAATATCGTGCTACGGTGGTGGAGCGGGCCCGGGAAGTGATCCACCCCGGGTCGGGATGTGACATTGGGTGTTTGAAGAGACGTTCTAACAGTGGTTAGGTCCCCCTAATCGCTTTGTGTGATTGGGAGGGTAGACTACTTTAGTAGTTCAATGACTTGGTCCTAGTGTGTAGTTCTTAACTCTTGCCTACTACTTTATTGCCCTCACTATCTCTATATAAAGCCAATGGAAAAGGTGAATAGTGATTTTGGACTCATTGAGCTTCAACAAAAAAATTTGGAGAAAAATGCCCTCAAGACAAAAAACTTTAAAGGTATCCCAAAATAATGCATCAAATCAGACAGGGGCATTTTCATCATTTTAACAGTATTTTTTTAATAATTATTTTTTTTTGTGGGGTTTTTTTTTAATTAGTACCTCAAAATAGGCTAGCAATAATGTGATTCAATTTATCTATTTTTAAACACGTTCAAAAGAGGTGTGTAATGCCGGTTATAAAAAAGGTCATTCGCACCCGAATAATTATGTGATTAAATTAGTTGTCAAATGATTTTTTTTTTTTAACAAAGGATATTATCTACACTAAGGGGGTGGGGGTGGGCTTAGCCTCACAATGGGCTAGCAATAATGTGATTCAATCAATTGTTTAATGACACACCCCGACCAAAATCAAGGCGTGATGCCCGTCACGTGAGGGTGACGTAGCCATGTGCACAGTGCAAAAGCAATATTAATATAAGAAATGCGAATAAATAAAAACCAAACTAATTAGAGCACTAGATAAGAATAAGTGCAAGATGAAATTAAGTGTGAATTCACAACCAAAGCATAAGTAGCCTAAGTGCAGTCTAGCAGGACAAATACTAATTATACAACACCAAAGGTAATCCTACAATGGTGATAATCTGTCAGAGCTGCCATGGATTCCTCCCAAGCCACCAAAAAGCACTCCTAACTAGAACCTGGAGGGGTGCAAAACAGAAAGTGTGAGTGGGCAAAAACAAAGTTTTTCAAAACCATTTTAATTATCAAAGATAGTAACCCCTGAGCGTAAAACCTGTATAATTTCCCAGAAAATAGAATACATATTTATACCATAACCATGCTCAGAATAGCAAAATCCACAAATATGCCATGTGAAATATCTCAGCATAAAAATATGTAAGCCAGGTGATATAAATCAATGCAAAATGATATGTCAGCCAGAGTCACCTAACATGACCTGTACGGCTGAATCTAGAGCTCATCCATCTAACTGGTGATAGGAGCATATTTATGCAACTTAATTGGCTTGTTCTCGTGCATTTACGTTGTGTTTTCTTAGTTGTTTTAGTAGTTTAAGCTGTTTTTGTTTGTTTTTAGGTCCTAATGGCAAAAGGAGCAAGAAAGTGCATTTTGAGGCTATTTGGAGCATTTTTGACATTAGAATGGATATCATATGCTTGGAGCCAAGAGGATGAGCGAAATTGAAGACTTGAAGATGATTATTCCTACTTAAACAAAGTTTCCTACTTGAAGTAGGAAAGTTAAATCCTAAAAGACCTCATGTTTGAGCAACATTGAAGACTCCTATCTATTCTAAGTCACAAAACAATGTCACATGCACCATCAAAACATCCTTTGCCGTGGCCTACCCTTCCTTTGCCATGCATCACATGCATTTCCAACACATTCTTTCTCCACACCTTGCCGTGCATAATTCACCACCTTTCCACATGCAATTTCAGTCACATGCATTCCCCTCATAACCCAGTTGTCATTCCACTTCAATCCACATGTTTTCCCAACAATATAATCAAAGCACATGCACATTCACCCATCAACTAACACACCATCATTGCCATGCATTCCATCCATATTTCAGCCATTCATCAAAACAATCACCCTTGTGCCGTGTATCCCATCCTACATTCCACAAACAAGCCACATGCATTACACCCCACATGTCCCTTTAATCCTTCAAACATGCACCCTTTATTCTTTCATTAATTAAACCACAAATCAGCCACACATTCACCCACATGCACCCTTTAATCATTCAACCATAAAGCCACATGCAATCTCATTCATTCCAACACAAAACAGCCCATCCTTTGCCGTGCCTAACCTTGACATTTCTAACCTAATCCACAACTTTTTGCCAGCTGTTTTGCATGAGCATTCCCCATTCAAACTTCCAGCCTTCCCACTACATTATTGCAGCTGCATCCTCTCACCCTTTAATCATTAAGCACATGCAAAACTTCATCATTCATCACACATCCCTTGGCATGCAAAACAACACCCATTTCAGCACCAAAGAAGCCTTTGCCGTGGCCTTCATTCCCATTTCCAGC